CAAAGAGAAAAGCCAACTGGAGGGGGTGGGTAGGGAGGAAAACGTGCAACAATTAATCAATGGAAATCCAAATTCTTTAGAAACTTTAAAAAAAAACTCAGTTAAAAAAATAAAAAATTGGAGGTTGTGTAGTCCACAGGGAGTTACACTGCTAACCCAAAAGCAGCACCTCGTCGGTGGTTCAAATCCACCAGTGGCTCCACAGAGAGATGGGCAATTTTCCCTCATGTGATTAACAGCCTCGGTCTGGACTCTACGGCAATGAGTGAGTAAGCGAGTCAGAGTTTTAAACCAGAGCTGGCTTATGATTTGTATGTTTAAAAAAATCTCTTTGTCAGCTGTCAAAAACTGATTGACAAGACAAAAACAAGGAAACCTTTAGAGGGAAAGGCAGTAAGCTAGAGGAGAAGAAATATTTTCAAACTAGGGTGATGGCTATGGACTCCAGCCATACTTAGGAAGTTAACTCAATAGGAAGTTTTCAGAAGAACTAAAAAAACCTTTATTGAATATCTGTAACAATCCCAGCAAGGGGGTGGGGGTGGCAGGCACCAGGAAGGCTTGGGAATATAAACAAAAGATGCACGTCTTCAACCACAAAAGCAAATACATGGTCACCTCCCTTCCTCCCTCCATCCTTCCAGTCTTTTGGGGAAAATGGGTCCCAGATCAACAAACAGGCTGAAAGTTCAGGGGCATGTCCACCTCCCTTGATAGAGTCAACAAACCGTTTCAGAGCTGGGCACTTGAAATATGGAAATGTATTTCCCACAGCCCCAGTAGGAAGGAATGCTGTCTTCTCAGGCTCAGAAGTTGCCAAATTTTAGGACCGCAACCTGAACCTGCTGCTATCCTGGGAGTGGTGAGCCACCACATGGGGTGGCCAGGGAGAGAAGAAGGGGACAGTGTTTCTTCTTCCTGTCCTGAGTGTGCTGGTTTGTGGGAAAGGCGTGGCTGGAGTTTTGCCCTCTGTCTACAACCCTCTGTCTCCTTCTCCCTCCTCCTTCGTAAGCAGGATTGTCCTACACTGCTCACTGCCATTTCCCTTAGGAGTACATCAAGTCTGAGATCCCCTCTCTGAAATGAGCCCAGCAGGAAAGCAGTCTGCTGAGCTAAGACTATATGACCTGTTTCAGCTCATTATTCTTCCTTGAGAAGCGGCTTTTTCAGAGCTTTCTGAACCCACCTCTCTGGAAAAGCCACCCCATACCTCACTGTCCTGGGGTGTTGCAAACTCCCCTTCTGAGCCTATGAGTCCCCTCAATTCAGCCTCTGGGGAGAGCAGTGAGGGAAGATATTCTCAGGGACAGGTTAGGTATTTAATAGCCAATGCAGAATACTAGCTGGAGAACACCTCCTCATCTTGGATCTTCCAGTCCTTAACCAACTCGTGCAGGTTCTGGGGGACACTCAGAGGAAGAAGTAACTAACCCGCACAGAAATATTCAGTATTTTAACAACTTGTACAGCAACACTGATCCAACTGAATTTCAGGCCCGGGCTTGTCTCTCTCTATCTCATCCAGTCTCTGCTGTTCCACAGGGAATGGCTATTGGGCCATTTTCCCTCATTAAAAGAGGAAAAGTGGCTCCGGTTAGAACTGGATAAATGGCCTCCAGGCAGTGAGCGGCCGCATGAACTCCTCCAGGCTGAACAAGATCTCAGGCCTCAACCACTGTGTGTGAGTGACCTCGGAGGGCCCAGCCGCCTCTGACTGTCCTCCCTCTTGTCTCTCCTCATAGTTATTTTTATCCAGCCTGACAGCCTTTGGCTGTCCCAGCAGTCAGGGCCCTGTGAACCAGATGCAAACCAGGCACACAAGCGTCTGGTGCTGAATCCCAAGAGGATTTATCCCTGGGTATGATCGCGTGGTGCTTCCGTCTTGCTACACTGCACATCCAGCTAGAGGTCACTCAAGAGGGTGGCCTCAGGGGCACCGGTCCTCAGGTCCTCAGCCTGGGATCCTGTTTGGGACTGTTAGCCAAGGCCTGGTGGTGATACTCCCTCAAGGAACCTTGCTGCTGCCCAGAAACCTTCCAGCTAAGTCCACCAGGCTAGCTGTGTGCAGAGAATGGCTAGTCATCTGTAGAGTGCGTGTGGGTGTGGGTGTGTGTGGTTAGGAGAAGGCAGAGCAGGCCATGGTGGAGAACGAGTCTATCCTTTGTGTGGTTCATTTTGATGGGATGGGCTGAAAACAGGTGGACAAGGGAAAAAATGCCCAGAAGATGTGACCCTGTTGAGTTAATGTGTCCTGGAAATGAAGTGGACACAAGCTCTATCTATCTATCTATCTATTGACCCTGTTGAGTTAATGTGTCCTGGAAATGAAGTGGACACAAGCTCAATTTCCAGGTCTGGGAAAACTGTAGCCTGCTTGTCACCACCGTTGAGAAGAGTCTGACCCTCCAATGAAGCAGTGTACCTCAGCTCATCATACCTTTGGGTGAAAGCTGTGTTCCCAGACCTGAGATTTGTGCCTGGTGTGTGTAACGGCAGAAGAGAGGGTTGAGCACAGCTTCTTCAGGACTCATCTGTTCAGGGAAAAGGTGGAACCAAGTTTCTGGATGGACAAAGTGGGTAAGCAGTGAGGAGAGACAAGTTGGAAGAAAGGACAGATGGTGAGTGAAAGGACACCTTCCATCTATGAAAAGGCTGTGCAGCTCCTGGAAGAAAGACCTTCTCTCGTGGGGAGGAAGCCAGCTCAGAAAGCCCCGATTTCGGTGATTTCAGAGACCCAGGAGCGGCAGAGCATGGCCCCTGTAGGCCTTGCAGCAGGCCCAGGGGACGATGGGCGGGGGGCAGGGACAGCCACAGGGGCAGAGGGCCCAACAGCACCAGGTGGGGTCAGAGAGGAAGACCGAAGGAGGGATGCAATGTGACTGCTCCTGGCAGCCCTGCTGCTGGGGGTCACCGGTCGGGGGCCAGCTGGCCTCTCCATGGGGCGGGCCCTCCTGGCCAAAGTGGCCCCTCGACTGGGCAGAAGATTCTTCCGGGCGGGTAGGATGGTGGCAGCGGCTCGGCGCATGGGAGTGGCTCGGAGGCCTGGGATGGGATAAGTGGGAGAGGAGGCGCTGGGCAGGACGGGACCGGGCACTCGGCCCAGGATGGTGAGCTGGCTGCTTGGGGCGGGCAGCCCTGGACAGCTGGGGAAGAAGGACCAGGGCCACGCCGGGAAGGCCAGGGGGCCAGTGGGAGTGGGCAAAGGCTCCATCTCGGCTGCGTAGCTGTTGAGGTGAGAGAGAAGGCGAATCCGAACAGGGTCCGCACAGCTGCTTGGTCCTTCCAGGACCCCCAGGTACCTGATGACTTCCGTGAGGCACTCCCGAAAACCAATGCTCCTGAAGTCGATGGCCAGGGCACGGGCATCAAAGAATCCTGAGAAGAGAGGGGCAGTCTGAGGGCGTGCTGGCATAGGGGGAGCTCTGTGCCTGTGGTCATCAGACTAACTGAGATCTGGACTGGCCTCCTCCACTCACCCTCAATGTGACCCACTCTCTGAATGTCACGCCCATGTCTCTCAGCCCCAGCTGGCCCCCAGCTATAAAGTGGGAATAATAATCCTTCCCATCTGCAGAGGGAATAAAATAATCCCTGCCTGGGGTTATGAGAACCAAATGAATTTAATAAACTATGACGCATTAGAAAACGTAAAAGGTTATTTTCAATACAACCCATGATTAAGCCCGAGAAGAAACTCTGTGGAGAAGACAAAGTCATTTAAGTAGACACTGACTGGGTGTGAAAAGGCTGTGCACAACAAGGAAGTGTACAAGAACCCTGCCTGCTGGTAAGGGTTAGAATTGGCGGCAGTGGCTATCAGAGCTGGGAGGTTCCTTGTTAAGGCAAGAAACTGTAGCAGTGATGCACGAAATGTTTGGAGGCAGCAGATCTTGGTTCAGATCCTGGTTCTGCCACTTAACTGACTATGGACTATGGACAAGTCTCTGAATCTTTCTATGTCTCAATTTCCTTAGCTGTATGATGGAAATTGATATAATAAAATCTGACTTGAGATTTGTGAGGGTAAAATGACATTAAATGTTCAATACAGTAAAAATTAGCTACCATTTGTATTCCTAACAACTCTGGTGCTTTAATCCACAGCATGTTGTAAAAGAGAAAGTCAAGTATTCTCTCCAGCTGTTAAAATCCACTCCTGGGACAAAGATGGCCAGTTTACTATAATTATGATTTAGTTTTAGGAATTCCAGTGGAGGGTGGCTATGAGTAAGAACTGACTTTATGGTTGTGAATTAGTATATTCCTGGCTTGATCCATGTAAGCATTTGAGTCGATTCTTTGGCCCAAAGGACCCTACTCTGATGTTCAGGTACTGACATCAGGCCGAGACCCTCTCTGCTCTGATTTCAGTGAGGGATGATCAGGTGGATGACCCCACACAAGTATTCACATTCTGCCTGACTTTCTACACTTGCCGTGCTCCCCACCATCTAGGCAAAGACAGGCTTGTGACTATGGCAGGAAATACCTGTTCCCTGTAGGCTTAGCCATGTGACTTTAAGCAAGATCCTTTCTCTTTTGATTTTTATACTAGCACTGACTCTGGTGGTGGTTGTTGTTAGGTGTCATTGAGTCAGCTCTGACTCACGGAGGAAGCCCTCCCTAAGCTTGCACCCCCCTCGCAGTCTCCTCTGCACTTGAGCCCCTTGTGACAGTCACTATAGCAATCCATCTCCGTGAAGGTCTTCCTCTCCTTCAACAATCCTCCACTTTTCCAAGCCTTATGTCCTACTCCAAGGGCTGGTCCCTCCTGACATCATGCTCAAAGTATGCCTGACTTCCTCCCAAGCACTTTATATGCTTATATAATTTAATCTTCATCTACGTCAGTTGATGCGGAGTCTATTCCAGCTCATACAGACTGAGCAGAACTACACCCACAGGGCCCCCAAAGCAGTAAATCTTTACAGATGCAGACTGCCATATGCATCTATCATCTATCTATCTATCTATCTATCTATCTATCTATCTATCTATCTATCTATCATCTCTATCTCCTATGGAGGCTGGTTGCTTTGAGCAGTCAACCTTTCAGTTAGCAGCCTAACACTTAATCACGGCCCCATCACGGGCTTCTCTGGATTCTCATAAAAACCTTATTATCATTCTTATTATTCTCATTTTAGAGTTGAAGAAACCGTGGAACAGAGAGAGGTTGTCATTTGTCCAAGGCTAAAAAGGTAGTAAGGAGGAGAGCCAGGACTCAAGCCTTAATGATCTGCCACCCCATCAGCCCTGAGTCATAAAATAATGATAACAAACCCTGCCCTTGAGGTTCTTCTGAGACTCAAATGAGGTGATGTGTGTGAAGTTCTTTGAAAATGTAAAATGCTTCCCAAATATTAGTTGTGATTTTCTTTTAATGGGAGAACTACAAATGTTGTTTGAAATCTCTTCTCCACTGGCTGACTAGTGATAGAGACGTTTTCACTGTTAGCAATGCATTCCTTTGGTAGTGATCAAATGCATGGGGGCATGCTTGCTAAACTTGCAAATTCTGAAACTCCAATCCAGATCTTGTTGTTGTTGTGTACTGTAGAGTCGGAAACAACCCATCGCTGACTCTCTGCCACATTTTCAGAGGCAGTTAATCACACTGGAGGAGATTGCCTATCCTTCTCCAGTGAAGCAGCTACTGCCTCAGAATTCCTAGGATGTAACCTGCAATTCTGATGGTCTGGGACGATGTGGCTGTACACTGAGGCTTGACACCTAATTGGGTCACTTAGCATGCAAGTGTCCCCTTCAGGGGTAGCAAGTTAAGTTTCTGGGACTTTGGTTTAATACATATGGCCAACAACTGGGGAGTTTTCAAGGTTTCCCATTTGTGAAATCACCAAGACACAGCGAGGTTTCACAGAGACACATTTACCATTTGTCTGGAAACTTTTAAAAAGCCACAATTCCATGACTTTATTTTAATGGACTAGCTCAAAATCATGGAATGAATTACATTTGCTTTCAATTATAACCCCATATGTAATAGACTATGTGAGCATGGCATACAACACTGTCACGGACACACAGCCAGGAGGCTAGATGAGAGGGTCGGCACATCAGTCAAGGTCTGTGGCTAAAATCCAAGGAAAGTCCTTCCCTGGGTTCAGGCAGGTCCTAGAGAAAATTAGTTTATAGAGGGTAACCCAGTAGTAGCTTTTGGCTGTGGAAGAAAACTTCTCCAAGATTAAGACAGGAAGGCATGGAGGGAAGAAAGGGGTGAGGACAGATGGAGACACTGAAAGTGAGAGGGAGATGCTGAAGAGGAGATTCAAGCTTTGCAAAAAGTTCTGGTTATGCCTGCTTCTGGACTGTGAGGGCCTCGAGGGCAGGGACAAAGTCCACTTTGTTCAGTAGTGTATCCCCAGCCGCTGGCCTCCAAATATGTGTTGCATGAACGAATCTGGAAAGAGAGAAGCATAAGTACCTGTCCCACCGGTGGCATGGAGCATTTTCAAGTGATCCACTGTCATCTGCAAGACTTCTGCTTTCTCCAGCTTGGAAGAACCCTGTGTGTTCAGAAGACAGAGAATGAAGTTTCCCAGTTGACCTCCATTGCTCCTTTCCTCTGCATTAGGCCATCAGTCCTCATTGTCTCAGTTTCTCATCTTCTTCTCAGATCCTTGACCACCGGCTCATGGGGCTGTGCGCTGGCTAACAGCTTTTCCATTTTCTCCTTAGAGCACCTGTCTGCTGCTCTGGACTCTGCTGACCACTTTCTCCTTCCTGAGGCCCTTGGCCTCCATGACACCACTTTTTTGTGGTTCTCTTCTGCCTTGCTTCTTGCTCCGTCTACCCCTTAAACAGTGACCTGTCCTAGTGGATATTGGTTCACTTCTCTTTTTGCTCTGAATGCTCTCCCTGGCAGATCTCATCTACTTCCACAGCTTCATCCACATTAATGATGATTCCCCAAAAGACCACTCGTGCAGACCCACTCATTATTCTAGACCATTATCTATTCACCAAGCCCTAAATCTAACATTGTTCTACCCCACCTTGTCTCTGTCCTCTCTCTTAGGAGATGCTTCCCAAGCCTCCAGTCGTCTGGCTTCTCAAATCTAATTGACACCATTTTTCCAATAGCACATGCTGACTTTTTGTCTCTGTGTCACATTTTGTGAATTCTTAAAATATTTCAAACTTTTTGTGTGTGTGTGTGTGAAGTTTTCGGCGAACATCTGAGGAATATCGGATTTGTTTCCACCTGTACAAGGGCATGCTTTGTAGCACAGGGGAAGAATTTTTGAGGTTATAAGCCCCTGTCCCCACCCCAGCTGTATCACCCACCATCCCAGCAAGTTCAATAACACAGTTACTAACTTTGCAATCTATTCCACTTTCCAATAACTCTCAAAATGTCAGCAGTGCAGAGAAACAGAGGATTCTAGAATCACAGGGTTCTGTGTTCCTATTTTGCTCTACCATTTACTAGGTGTGTGATCAGCCACAAGTATTTCCACCTCTTTATCTCTCCATTTCCTTACCTCTGTAATAGGCATAAACATCCCATTTTCAGGGTCCTTTTGAGAATTTAATTCAATAGGATGATGGAGAGAAGGTATCTGTGACTGTAGGACCTCAGTAAATAGAGATTTCCATTCCCCTTATCCAGGGACAGTTAACAATGAATGAGCGATCGCAGCACTTCAGGCAGTCGCTTACCAATCAACAGGGAGGCCCCTAAGAACAAACCCGCCATCCGCACAAGATTTCTGCCAGCATAGTCAGGAACGTCACCACGTACCTGCTTCTCAAAGGCAGTGGGCACCAGGCGCCGGAGTTCCGAAAGGCTGCTGTTGATGCGGTCTCGGCGCCGCTTCTCTATGATCTACGAAACAAGGACAAAAGAACTAGATGGTGTCCAGCTACCCACAACCGACCCCTCTGAATGGTGTCACAACACGAGCTCCCGGACAGAGTGGGAGGAAAATAGAGGACAAGATTCAAAATGATAAAAAAGATCAGACGTACTGATCCACTGACAGAAATCTGTGGAATCACTGAGCCTATAGCTCTTTTTAAATTTTTTTATTTTTTGTGTGTACTGTAAAATCGGATGTGACTGGTACAGGAGGAGATTGTCCCTCCTTTTCCAGCAGAGCATCTGGTGGGTTTGAAGAGCCTCCAGCTCTTTTTTTTTTTTAAAAAAAAACTCCTTTCCACTACCTCAAATATATGCCCCCATCACTTCTTAAATTTTTTTAAAAAACTTAACTTTATTATCTTTTTGTGTGTGTACCGTCAAATTGGATCTGACTGGTACAGGAGGAGATTGCCCCTCCTTCTCCGCAGAGCATCTAGTGGACTCGAACCATGTACTTCTGGGATTGCAGTGCAGCTTCTTGCCACTAGGCCACCAGAGTTCCCTCGCCAATCACTTTTCAGTCAAACAAGAGACAGACCTATCAAGTGAACAGTAGTATTCCTCAGAAAAATCAACCACAGAAGACCAAGAGAGCAGCATTTGCCTAAAAAAGCAAGCTCAGAAGGCTCCAAGGAGCAGGAAAGAAACAAATACAAATGGGAAATCTGGGGAGGAAGTGTGGGGTGATGTTACATCAACAGGATTATAACCAATGTCATACAAGAAGCAGAACAAATGTATAATTTGTTGAGTGAAAAATGAATTTGCTTTGTAAACTTTCACCAAATCACAATAATAAATAAAAATTTAAAAACAAGGGCAAGAAGTTTTATGTGGGTACTTCATCAGAGTTTCCAATGTGCCTCGGTGAACACTGACTCACATTTTCTCTTGTGATGTTTTTGAGGATGATAGATCTACAGAGTTTTATTCCATTTCCCGTTCTTTCCCCCCACCCCCGTTATTTCATTTTTTAATACACTGAAGGTTTGTTTCAACTATTCATCTAGAATGTCTATCAAAACTCTCACGCACTGTTGTCAAGTCAGAACCAACTCATAGCTAACCCTCCAGCACGTTTCAGAGGCTGTGAACAGCACAGGAAGCGATTGTCCATCTTTCTTCTGCCTAGCCTCTGGCAGATTCTAACTGTCAGAAGGACCACCTTTGGGTTAGCAGAGCTACTCTCTACACACTAGGCCACCAGAACTCCAAGAGGAAAGTATTTATAGAGGGATAATTTTTCCAACAGCGTGTGCTGACTTCATATTTCTATGTCACTTTTAAAAAAAATTTTTTTTGTTTGTGTGTGTGTGTACCGTCAAATCGGATCTGACAGGTACAGGAGGAGATGGCCCCTCATTCTCCGGCAGAGCATCTGGTGGATTCGAACCTCATATCTCTGGGATTGCAGTGCAGCTTCTTGCCACTAGGCCACCAGAGCTCCCCCTGTGTCACATTTTTACAATTTAAAAAAATAAATTATTATTTTTGTGGGTGTACCATCAAATCAGATCTGACTGGTACAGGAGGAGATTGCCCCTCCTTCTCCAGCAGAGCATCTTGTGGATTTGAACCTGGTACCTTTGGGATTGCAGTGCAGCTTCTTGCCACTAGGCCACCAGAACTCCCTACATTTTTTTTTCAGAGCTCCCTATGTTTTTATAATTCTTAACAATATTTCACACTTCTTCACGATGTTATTGCATACTTACTAAACTATAATGTAAATATAACTTTAACATTCACTGGGGAACCCAAATATCATGTGACATGTTGATTGCACTATTTGCTTTATGGCAGTATTCTGAAACTGAACTTGCAATATCTCCAAGGTATACTTGTATTCTTATTTATGAAGGAGGAAACAGGTTCAGAGACAGGCAGTGACTTGCAAACAGTCACACAGCAAGGAAGTGCAGAGCCAAGCCTATATTACCCAGGTGTCTTTTCTTGGTCTGTGGAAATGACATTCAAAATACTGTAATCATTGTTACAACTGTACACAAGTTTCCCCTGATATCCGAAAGTCGAGTGTTTCTCTTAACCCTTTTGTAAGCCAAAATTATGTAAAGTGATGAAGCAGTTGCAACTAATTGATATGGGGAAAATATTTTATTCTTCTGGGACTCAAAAAAGAACTACCAAATCACAACAGGTAGCACACAAAACATAAATGAACACTAACACAGAGTGCTCACAAGCTTCTCAGGGACATGGCGGCTGGAAAGGAGAGGCTGAAACAGCTCCTGGGGAGAGAGCTTGTTGATAATACCCTCATTACTCGGGGTGCACACGTTACTGTAGAAGAAATGCTGGTCCTGGCTGTACTTACCACCTTTTTTTTTTTTGCCTAAAAGCAAAATACTCCTCAGATGTCTTTTAGTTAGGGGAAATAGGTCCTAATGTGGGTCTTTTGTAAAGTGAGAAGATATAAGGCCAATTTTATTTACTTATTTATGAATATTTAATTTTTTTGTGCCATTGAGTCAGATCCACCTGGCACAGGAGACTGCCCCTCCTCCAGCAGAGTATCTGGGGGATTTGAATCACATGCCTTCAGGATTGTAGCACAGCTTCTTGCCACTAGGCCACCAGAGCTTCCTCTAAGGCTAATTTTTAAAAAAGCAGGAATTTCTGTATCAACTAATCCAGCTGGGGACACCAGCCACAGAACTGGCCTGGAGGCCCTGTGTTGGACCCTGCGAGCTCTGAGGTCCTTGAGACTTTTCTCTCTAAGGCTGCAAATCCTTTGATTCCTATCCCCTTTGTTGTGTGCCATGGAGTCAAGGTGATTAGCCCATCCTTCTCCAGCGGAGCATCTAGTGGATTAGAACTGTGAGCCTTTAGGATTGCAGTGCAGCTTCTAAGTCCTTTGATTTTAATTTTGTCATTCTCGCCTCACAATACCAATAGTAGGATACTGATAAATCTGTTGAAAGCCAAACACTTTGCCATGGACTTGATTTCAACTCATGATGATCTCATATTATAGAGCAGAATTGCTGCATGGGATTGTCTTGATGGCAAGCCTTCTGGAACAGACTGCCAGGCCTTTCTTCTGTGGTACTGCTGGGTGGATTTGAACTGCTCACCTCTAAGTTAATAGTTGAGCACAAACTGCTTGCACATACACATACATCCCCCCTCTTCCAGGGACCTGCATGATACTAGAGAAGGACAGAAATTATGACTCTTATTTCACAGGTAAAGAAAATGAGGGATGGAAAGAAGCAGTTTGTCTAAGGTGTCATGTTTGTGAATAGCAAAGCTGGAGCCAGATCCACGTCTCAGGACTCCCTGTGCAGTGCTCTTCCTTCTCAGCCCAGCTACACCCTAGGTGGAAAGTGGGTCTGGGACACTCGCCAGCAGCAAACTGGGGGTGCCTCAGTTCTCCTGTTCTCCATTCCTTGGAGAACTGAGACAAATGGAAGGCTCGGAGCACAGACGAGGCAAGATTGGGTAGAAAGGAAGGCTGGTGTGCATCAGAGAATTATTCATGATGGCTTTTCTAACCTTGGCTTTGACTTTACATATGGCAAATGGGAGGTGTTTTGTGGTCCAACAATGGGATTAGACAATTTATCAATAATGTCAACAGAACCTTTTGAGTTGGAAATGCAAATAAGATGTATAGAATGCTAAAGAGGGGATTTTTGATCAGGTTAGTCATCCTGCCAGGCTGAATTTGAGCAGGCTGAGAGGCAGAAAATGGGAATCTATTACCATTTAGAAAGAAGAACCAGAATGTAGTATGTCCTTTGGACTTGAGATTCCTGTTCAAAGCAGAGGTGAAGACACCAGACAGTCGAAAGTAGTGGCTGGCAGCAGGGGTGACAGAGGTGGTGCAGAACCAAAGACTGGCATGAGGCAGAGCTGAGCTAGGCCTGCTGACCCACAGAGTTAGAGCTGGGAGGTTTCAGGCCAAGGCTAACTGGTGGAGATGGAGTTGAGAGGTGTGTGTTCATAACTGTCTGGAGCAGTGCAGAGTCCGAGGTCACGAGACCTAGACAGAGAGGCCTATCTAGTAGTAGGCTGAGAAGACTGAAGAATTGTATACTGAGCATTTGCAACCTAAACGGTAACATGCCACTTCTCTAATAAATTCAAAATTGTGAATTTTGTCTCTAAGTTCTGTAGTCATTGCAACAAATTAGTGTACCTAATAGGGAAGTTTTGAGAGGGTTAGTTGGTGTTAGAACTGATAGAAGGCGTGGTGTGTGGGGCCATGTCTGATCTCACCGGAATTACCTCTGTGCTGCTGTTGGTGGAGAATCTTCCCCTTGTAAAGTTGGAGTAGGTCAGACAAAAGCACTCCCATCACTCCCAAAGCTTTTATAGCCAGCATAAGAGCAATAACAGTAATGGTTTATGTCAGGCACTTTTATGTATTCTTCTAAACAACCTTTGAGATGTTGTTAGGTGACATCAAATCGTCAAATCCAGTACAACTCAAGGCGAGTACAACTCAAAGTGACCCTAATGAACAGCCAACCCGAACCCCACCCTATCCTGTGCCATCTTCATCATCTCTGACACACTTAAGCCCTTTGCTACATTATTCCAGTTAAATGTATGAGGAAAAGAAGCTTGTTAGGTGACTGGCCTAAAGTTACCCTAATAATTTACTGGCAGTGGCAGGATTTGAAGCAGTCAAGGTAGCTTCAGAGTGATGAGTCTCTCTCTTGGCTAGATCTCTGAAAGAGTTGAGAAAGCCTTTGTTTTGCAACTCAGGGGATGACCACTCACCCCTCTCCTTTTCTTCCTGGCTTGCATCTGTGAAGGGCTGGCAGTGGACAACGGCCTGGCCATCTGGCTGGAGAGAAAGAGAAAGGCTTATTTTTTTTTTTCTTCAGCACTTGGGGACCATCACCATGGCCTGGGCTGACCCCTCGGAGGCCTGGCTGTCTGTGACCACATCCCCCTCCCAGGCGGCCAAGGCTCCCAGGCCAGGAAGAGCCACAGGGCGGGCGTGGGAGGGACGCCTTACTCCCCAGGGGCTCATTTCTCCTCGGGCCAATTCCTCCCTGGCACTCAGGGTTTCCTGCCTCCAATGCCGTGGCAGCTCGCGCGGCAGCGCGCAGGGGGTTGTTGGCTCCTGGCACCGACGTGCTGGGCCTCCCCAGTGGCTGCGGCAGGCGACGTCGCCGTCGGGGAACCGCGGGCCGGGCGGCTCGGGCTTTGCAACTCGATCCCCGCGGGGCGGAGCCGGCCGAGGGCACGGGCCGGCGGCGCTGGCGGCGGCTGGGCCGGGGCGGCCGGGTTGGGTTTCAGAGGGAGCCGCTGGGAATGAGCGTGGAAAGAGCAGATGCCGCCGCTTCCCACGGGCCGAGCGCGGCGGCCACCCGCCCCTGCCCGGCCTGCAGCTGCCGCCGCCTCCCACGCGGCGCAGCCCTAGTGGGGGCGGGGATAAGCGGCATGTGGGTCACAGGCCGCTTTGGGGACACTGCTTTGGTTCCCCAGAGGTCTCCGGCTCCATCACTTCAGGCCTCCTCTCCCACCCTGGGCCTCCTCTCTGCAGCCTAGCTGAATGAATGATGGATGTTTTCACACCCCAGGAGTTTCCATCCCTGGTAGAAAGCCCATTCCTCCCTGGGCTTTTCCTGCCCAGACTTTTAAAAAATCCCAACCAGCTCAGCTGCTCACCCTCCTAACGGGTTTCCTGCTCCCAGGGATCCCTTAGAATGGAAAGGATTTGCTGGGTTGCCAAGCCTTCAGAGGCCCCATTCAGTCCCAGGGCTGGTGTTGGGAGCCCCAGGAAATGTCATCCTGGGCTCAGCTCTCCAGATGCTCACCATCTGGTGGGGAGACACCATATGAACTAGCACCTTCAGACAAGGTGACTCCTCTGTTATTTCTGAATACAAAACTCCACACATCTCACTCCAACAGGAACTCATAAGCTTGCCCCAGTCTCTTACAAGCTTCCCTGCCCCTGGGTTTCCCATTTTAGTAACCCACCCCTGTGAAGTCCTTCCATCACTTTTCCCAGACTGTAAATCTTTACAAGAGGAGGGAGACTGACTCAGCTTCTTCAGCCAGAAGAGACTAGTGGATTCAAACCACTGACCTTTTAGTTAGCAGCCCTATGCATTATGTGCTGTGCTACCAGGCCTCCTTCATCTCAGGGAAGGAACCCTCAATTTCCAGTCCTGCAAGGCAAAAATCTATCTTTGATTTCTCTTCTACCTTATCGAAACCTGCCAATTCTATGTCTAAACTTCATTTCAAAACCGTGTTGTTAATCTGTACTGCATTTCAGGACCAACTTCTGTAGTTTTCCACCTGGATAACTGCAAGAGCTTCTTATAGGCCCCCTCCACAGCTCTTTTTATCTCCTACAAAACTATCACTATGTTGCAGAACGAGTCATTGTAGTTGTCTTGAAACGCTTCAGTGATTTCCTAGTAGGATCAGGGCACTAATTTTTATGTGACCCACCTGTTCCCTGCCATCTCTTAGTCTCAACTCTTCCCTTGCTCACCATTCTCCCATCAGTGGATGCTCATATGATTCTCAAAGCCTAGAATTCTCTGGTTCACTCTATCTCTCCATTCTAAGTCTGGGTCTTTTTGCTCAGAAACTTTCTGCATCATTCATTTTTCAATTAAAATGTCAACTCTCTGACAAGCATCCCCATCCCAACTAGATGCTTCAAATACTCTTCTAGCATACTATATTAATAGTATTTATGCACATTTTTATTTTATATGCATGTGACTATGATTAATACCCAATACGCTGCTAAGCTCCATGTTAATGTAACCTCAGTACTCAGCATAGTGCCTGGGACACAGCAAGGTCATTATATCACTCCATCCTCCTGCCCTTATCTTTGGCATCACTGGTAATGGAAGAGGTGAGCACTAGAAAATCTGTGTCCTACACTTTTGTGACCGCCCCCTTGACATTTAGGGTTGGATCATTTTCATCTACTATCTAAGAAAGGAGAGAGTATGAAAGGCGCCCAAGTATCAAGGACTCTCCTTCACAGGGTCGCTATGAGTCGCCTGCGACTCAACGGCACTTAACAACAATAGTATCAACAGAGAGAGATCAGCTGGCCCAGTGGACAGAAAGCGATGCTACCAAGCCAAAGGTGAGTGACTTTTAATCCACGGCCCTCGGGCCTGTCTTTCATTGTTTTTGTTCAGACATTCCTCTAGGTCATATAGCCCTGGTGTACAAGTTGCCGTACTGTGGTCACTTGTGGTTGCTGTGAGGCTGAACACTGTGACACTGATGTGTCAGATGTGTTAATGGTTGGCTATCTAATGTGGACAGGGAGTGGGGTGGAGCTCCCCGATTAAAACAAGCTTGGAAGGAGGAGTGGCATCCACTTCCTTAATAGCTTGCCTCCAGAAACCCTGTGAACCTGGAGAGAGGATGAAAGGTACCCAAGCATTGAGGACTCTCCTTCATAGGGTCGCTATGAGTTGCCTTTGACTCGACGGCACTTAACAACAACATGTAAGAAAGGAAGCACTGGGGACACCTAGGTCAGTAATTTGAACCACCAGGAAGATGTGGCTGTCTGCTTCTGTGAAGATGCTTTGGAAACACTGTGGGACAGTTCCACTTGGCCCTATAAGGTCACTCTGAATTGGCATCCACATGATGGCAGTGATTTTAGTTTGGGCTTTGCTCAAAGAGAGAAGGTTGCAGAGAGATCAAATCTGCATTTGTCAAGTCCTCATGTTATGTCCTGGCTCCATAAACCACATCTGGAAAAAGGTATCCTTCATTCAAACATCTGGATAAACAGTCATGGTAAGGGTGCTGTGAGAGTTCCTGAGAAGGCTGCTACAGCAAGTTGGGTCCAGGGTTCAGATAGCCAGAATTTGTGATCTGCAGGGCAGCCTGCTTACAGAGCTTCCCTGGGGACAAGCCCTGAAAGCCACAGTACACTAAGAAACACGGCCTTTGTCCCTTCCAGCTGGATAAAGCGTCTCTCGGGGTATTGGGTTAGCATCACGCACGTCACTGCCTCTCAGTTTGATCCTTCCTCAGGGACCATCTATTGAGACGGAGGCACCCATCTGAGGGCAAGACAGCTATAGCCTTCCTTCCTCTGGTCTCCGGACCAGCTGTACTTAGCAGGGTTCTTTTTCTCCACTATCTCTCACAGACCGACCTTATTTCACTGTTTTTTTAGGCACCATTATCTATATTTCTTTTATTTAAGCCTTATAAAAGCCCATTTTATAGATGAAGACACTGAACCTCAGGGAGGTTGTCTAGCTTGTCTAGCTTACGCCGCCGCTAAGGAGAAAGGCTAAGATGGGAATCTATCTGGCTGCACAGTCTGCATTGTTTTCACTCATAATTCCTACTTCCTGTCTGTCTGAATAGCCCCTGAGTCCCCAGATCCTTAAAGCTCCCAAGAGCCCCAGTCAGTCTTTGCTTCCAGCCCACAATCTGGCCCTGACAGTGGGAGGAGGTGTGGGAGCTTCTTGTCTGAGAGTCTGAAACTCAGGCAGATTTTCATGAACCCAGAGAAGAGTGTTGACCACCAAGATCTGCTCCATGGGACTCCAGGGGCCCCTAGCCAGAATTCCAGGGTGGTCTCTTTAGTGGGGGCAGCTCTCCAGGCAGTCTGGCTGCCAGTCCTGACCACCCTCTGCGCTAACCTCCCCTGGGAACTCCTAGAACCCTTACGAATGACCCCACTTATTTTGCAACAACGAAAGGCAGAGAAACAATGAGGAGACCTCAGAAAGCAGAGATTTTATTTTTAAAATGAGGAGGCTCAGAGAGGGGAAGGGATTTGCCCCAGGCCACACAGCAAATAAGAGGAAAATATAGAAGGAGGTCTCCTGATTTTGTCTAGTACTCTTCCAGTACACCCTATGGGCTCACTGTCCTGTCATTTGCGTCTCCTTAACCAGTTCATTATGTTCTAGACAGCATGTCCACAACCACTTGTCTCATTATGATTGCGCCACTTCACACTTAGGAAAAATAATGATCTTATAGATGGGTGGCCAAGATACGAAGAGGTCATTTAAGAATTCTGCCCAGTAAATCTATTCTTCAGATTGTTAGTCTTTTCACTGCCTCATCAACATGGAACCTGCCCCCCTCCCCCAGCCACCCCCCATCCTCTCAACTGACTGGAAAGCAGCATTTACTGTGAATTGTCTTATGTCAAAGCAAGGAGCAATGTGCTTTCGTGAAGTTATTAGTAGCCTATGTTATAACCCACATGTACAGCACAGAACTGTGTCCCACAGGATTTTCAAGGCGACAATCTCTAAGAAGCAGATTGCCAGGCTAATCCTCTGAAATAACTTTGGGTATGTCTGAACCACAAACCTTTTGGTTATCAGTGGAATGCTTAACTGTTTGCACCATCCAGGGTACTTTGAGGCAGGCTATTGTTTTTAAAATATTTTTCTTATACTTTAGGTAAAAGTTTACATAGTAAATTAGGTTCCCACGTGACTTTTTTCTATAATTTGCTCCACTATAGCGACCCTCTATGAGATGGATTGATTCGGTGACTGGGGTAATCGGGATGGGTGTGTCAGAGGCGGTGCGGTTGGCGCAGGATAGAGCAGGGTTTAGGGCTGTTGTGCATAGGGTCGCTATGAGTCGGAAACGACTCGACGGCACATAACAACAACAACATAGCGCATCAACATTCTCATTATTTCCATTCTTCTGTCCCTCCTTAGCTTTTCATCTTTGTTTTAGGGTAAATGTTGTCTATACAATAACCTAGTATTTGGATGAAAGGTGAGCAATGGGCATGGCTTCAGTTCCAACTTCAAAGATGTCATAGGGCAGTATTCTTAGGAGTTCCTCCAGTTTCCATCAGTTCAGTAAGTTTGGCCTTTTTCAGGAATTTGAATTTTATTGTGTATTTTCTCCCTGTGGCTTTATGAGCTTGGTGGTGGTGTTACATGCCATCAAGTCACCTGTGACTCAAAGGAACCCTTGGAATACATACATATCTATATGGAGCTCTAGTGACATCATGGTGACAACCTGCACTTCAATCCCAGAGGCTCACGCTTTGAATCCACCAGCTGCTCCAAGGAAGGAGGATAGACAGTCTCTTCCCATGAAATTTCCTGCCTCTGAAAACCTGCTAGAGGCTTAGCTATGGGTTGGTTCTGACTTGACAGCACACAACAACTACATTTATATTTATGTATGTTGTGCCTGTATATAGTAGAGTCAGAAATGGCCCACAGCTGACCCTCTGGTGGGTTTTCAGAGGCAGTTAATTGCACGGGAGGAGATTGTCCATCCTTCTCCCACGGAGCAGCTGGTGGTCTCGAACCTTGTACCTTCGAGATTGCAGCGCAGCTTCTTGCCACTAGGCCAACAATATACATATACATGTACATATACATATACATATACATATACATACACACACACACACACACACACACACACACACACACACACACACACATCTAGTTGTTGTGTGCTGTCGAGTCAGAATAAACCCATAGCTAACCCTCCAGCAAGTTTTCAGGGGCAGGAAATTGCATGGGAAGAGACTGCCCATCTTTCTCCCACAGAGGAGCTAGTAGATTCGAACAATGTGTCTTTGGGTTGGCAGCACAGCTCCTTACTACCAGAGCTCCCACAATATCTATCTATCTATGGACATTCTGGCAGCATTCATACATGTACATGTGCCTGCAGACAAACCTGTGAGAGTAAACTGATGTGCCTTCCTCTGCTTATATACATAAATGTCTACCTATGTAACCACACATACATTTTATTGGTTTATTACTGCTGTTGTAAAGTTGTATGTTTGAAGTGTGTTATTACCACTCCTATTTTGTAAGAGAGACAACTAAGATTCAGACAAAGGCAAAGTCCGTTGCTCACACTAATAGTCAAACTCCAACTCATTGCTGTCAAGTCGGAACTGACTCAGATGTCATTCCACTGGATTTCCAAGGTTGGAAATCACACAGGAATAGAGTGCCCATCTTTTTCTCTGAGAGCTGCTGGTGGTTTCAAACTATCTAGGTGTAGGAGCGCAACTCCCTATGGACTACAGAGCTGGGTCTATTGGACTTCAAAGGCCACCCTATGCCTTCTGTTATTCAGGAATGACCCACAGCCCCTGACCCAGTGCCTAACATGTGTTAGGTTCATTCAGCGCTTGTGGAGGGGAGGGTAGAGTTGATCTTCTCAGTTTGGATACAGCATGTACCAGAGGGGCCAGTTCAGAGGAGAGCTCTGCAAATGAGTCCCACAGGCCGGGACGGGATCTCACCAGGCAGCAGCCCACGTGCTGGTGGGACAAGCCCTGCTCTTGATTCTCACGTCTCTGGGTGTGGGGGATTTGCGCCCTGCCGCTGACCCAGGGAAGCTGGCTGCGCCTATCCCGTGGTCCTTGTTACTGTTTATCTGACTTTAGAGTTCTTTGTACATGAAGCTCTTCTTCCTTGTGAGTCCCCTGGGGGCAGAGGCTGAGCAGGATACATCTGGGCCCCGACACCCAGCCTAGGTCTGGGCCACAGCAGGCATCGTTCAGCACTCCTTGAATTGAAGCATTGATGTCTGCTGGGGGCTGGGGGGAGGGCCCTTTGGTGAGTGCTACAAAGAGGCGTCTGTAAGTCAGCCTCCGCCAGATGTCCAACTGCTTTCTCTCCTCTGAGGGGGTCTGCTCCTCTAAGAATCTACAGACTCTGAAAACGGGCTCTGGATGAAATGACAACATGCTGTACAGGGGAAAAAAGCGCTGCCCAATGATCCTTGATGCTTCATCCCAAATGTTGCCACCTTTATAAAGCTCTTATTGCTGTCTTTGGTTGTGAGTGACCTCTGCCAGCGTAAGTGCCCTCACGGCCCACATACTTGTCTCTTTCAATCCTGTCTGTATGTGACCTGGCAGGTCAGTGACCAGCCTGCAGGCTATTGGAGGACAGATGCTGGTTCTGATCTGCTTAGAGGTCTCTGGCATCAATTTCATGCCTCTGATCCTTGAAGATTCAATGGCATTGAATTTGAGACCTCCTCACCCTCACCCCACCACACGGTGCTTGGTCTTCCCCTGCTTCTGGCAGACACAGGCTAGGAGAACTGCCTCTCTAAATAACAGTATCAGCTTAACAGTGAAGAAAGTTAACAGTTTGCACAGGAAATTGCATTATAAACCCCAAAATCTAATGTATGGAACAAAGGGAGATATCTATTGCCCTCTATTGTTATTGACTATAAATAATTAGAAGCTGGTAGCATTTTAGTAGAGTTTTCATTTAGGCAGATTTCTCTGCTCTCAGAAAACTAGTGAGCATTGAAATTCTGAGATGTTCTTAAAAAAACATGTTTAAGAATTAACTTAAGCTTCCCCAGTTGCATCGGGCATAGCCAGGTTTTGGATGAGTCAGGAAAGGTCGGATCACTTCCCTCTTCTCACTGTCCCATCTTTATTTTATTGATGATAAAACAGGCCTAGACAGGAAAAGCAATGGCCCTAGGTCATGTGGTGGGCTGGTGGCAAATTTAGGGCTGGGATCACAGTTTGCAAAAAATCATTCCTGCTGCTCTTGTGGGGTGGTGTGTGTCACATGATGGGTGTTGGGCACTAATTAAGCATTTGCTATGCATTAGGACCTGTGCTAAGCTCTTGCCATATATTATCTCATTGTGTTTTCAGAATAATCCTTTCATGTTGGGTCTATGATTTATACCCATTTTACAGATGAGGAAAGTCAAGTTTAGATAGTTCAAGGAACTTGGAAGCAGCAGATTCTCAACTCATTGCTCTCAATTCAGAGCTAACATCAACTTGGAACAGACTCATGGTTGACTCTCTTGGGAGTTTTTAGACGCTGCAAAATCACATGAAATGAGATTGTTCATCTTTCTCTCATGAAACAGCTGGTGGGTTCTAATCACCCGCCTTTGGATTGAAACTCTTTAACCTTTAAGCAACCAGAGCTCCAGGGGCATACAAAACCAAACTTACAGGTTTGAGGAAGGTCAGAATATTTACTGAGAGCTTAAAGATATTTGTGCACAGTAAAAAGAGCCCTGGAATTAGAGTCTTACTCCCTGCCATCACCACGAGCATGTTAGATACCAGTGTTGGGTAATAGTTTCTTCAATACCAATTTAATAATCCATTTTGTTCAAAGGAAAAGACATTTTTCTCCCCAGAAGAAGTTTGCAGACTATGTGACGTATGCACCCAAGCTGGGATAAAATTGGGAAAATATGGTTGTTCCGCGTAATCAGCAAATTCCTGGCCCGGAAAGAGGAGTGGTGTGATTTGGTACCAACAGTCTATGAGTTTCCTAAGATTTTTCTGGGGAAATTCACCAGTGACTTAAGGGGCACTTCGACAGAGACTAGACCTCTGAGCTGACCTCTCTCCCTGTGGACACACCTCAAGGCCCCAGTGGCTCAGAGCACAGAGCCTTCCAGGCCCTAGTGCACTTAACGGCACACACTGCGCACGCCCCACACGCTGACACCTGCGGGCCCGCCGACCACACCTGGTTCCCACGAGGTCACCTGAGGTCGTACCGAGGATTCCATGCTCAGTGAGCACGTCCCGAGGAGCTCTCACATCGTACCCTCTGTGCACTCAGCCCCCCATTCCCGGCCCTTACCTCAGTTCGCCCTCGCGGCCCACGTCGATGTCGGACTCGCTGTCCGAACCGCTGCGCTCCTTGGGCCGCTTCATGGTGCAAGCAGGATGCCGGCTCTCAGCCCGGCCTTGTGGCCTCAGAGCCACCAAGTCTGGTCCCGCCTCGGTTCCGCCCTGTTCAGCTCAGGCCCCGCCCTGTTCAGCTCAGGCCCCGCCCTGAGAGCGCGGCCGCCGCCCCTTCCCAGGGCCCTTTCCTGCTGCGCAACCCTGGGCGCCCCGGCGCCCCCTCGCCCCCGCGGTGACGCGCCAGCCGAGTCGTGGGAAGGCCCCAGGCAGTCACCGCCCCCGTCGACGGCTGGTAGGTCCGGTTCCGCTCCTCCGGCCGCGACCGCTTCACCCTGGGTGGCCTTGGGCAGGTGTCCTTGCAGGTCCCATGAGGAATCCAGGGGTCCTCATTGGTCCCTAGTTTTCCTGGGGCGCTGACGGCTTGTGGAGGCGCTGCTCTGGGTGTCCCAACATCTGCAGGGGTCAACTCCGTCCACCTATCTGCTGATCTCCCTGGGGCACAGACTTGTCGAGGTAGGAGAAGTTGGTGGGAGTGTCTGTGACCTGATCCTGGGTAAGAATCCCCTAGCAGTTCCTCCCTCAGAGGCTAAGGACAAGAGAAAAGTGATTTATGAATGTATTTGAGAGTGAGGATAGGATTCAAATCTGCGGAGGTAGGGCAGCGGTCATCCTCCTAAAAGGGACATCTGAAGTTGTCAATGCCTGAGAAAGGTTTGCCTTTGGCCAAGGTCCCTGCGGGCCTGGTATGGTGATGGTCAGTTTCCTGTCCACTTACAGTGTTACTGCCTTGAGATCACAAGTTTCAGGAGAGAGATCCTAAGGTGAGTGAGGTGGAACCTGAGAGACCCCTCTATCTACCCTCTAGCCTCACTTGCTTCCAGTCTCCCTCTGATCATGGACCACATTGCTAACTTGATGGGGGCACTGGATTCCCTGTCCCCAGGGTTTGGAGCAGAAGAAGACTCAGAAACAAACATCTGCCATCCTCTCTTCATTCAGTGGAACCTCAGGCAACAAAAGAAGCTTGAAGTGATGGGGTGGTATTAATAAGTTCAGAATTCTCTAAATACATATCAGTTGTAAAACCGATAGCAGTTTTCTCCAGCTTGCAAAACTAGTTACTTTGCCTTAGAATTCTTTTTTTTAATTGAGATTTTAATGGAAGTTTATAGAGAACTTGAATTCCTCTTCATTCATTGTTGCACATTTTTCTCCCTGTCCTCCTCACCCCCAGTTCCCTTTCTCTTTGGGGGAAAAAAAAATCACTGTTATGCAGTCCCTCCCTCAGTCCATTTTACTATGCAGCTCTTATTCTGGACTCTTGTCGTGCCAATAATAACTAATCTTGTCTGTTTCAATGCTATGTCGTTATTTATCCCCTCTTTTCTTAGTTTCCCCGAACCCTCATGTCAGTCCTATTTTATAACAGTGCCATTATTCAGTATTTGTCCTTTTGTGGCTGAGATATTTCAACATAATGTCCTCTATGGTCAACCATTTTGTATATTTAATGAGTTCATTGTTTTTCAGTGCTGCATAGTATTCCATTGTGTGAATATACCAGCGCTTCTCTATCCATTTGTTCGTTGATGGGCACTTGGGTTGTTTCCAATGCTTTGCTATAGTGAACAAAGCAGCAATAAAAAATGGGTGTGTATATACATCTGTTTGGGTGGCAGTTCTGGTTTCTTTATTGTATATTCCTAGTAGTGGAATTTCTGGGTCAAATGGTATTTCTATTTGCAACTTTTTTGAGGAAGCGCCATACTGCCTTCCATATTGGTTGTGCCATTTTACACTCCACCAACAGTGAATAAGGGTTCCCGTTTCTCCACAACCCACCCAGCATTTGGTGAATTTTGCTATTGTTACTGGGGTGAGATGATATCTCATAGTTGTTTTGTTTTCCATTTCTTTAGTAATGTACTTTTATTTTTCCTATTTTCTTGTTGTGCACCATTGAGTGGGATCCTCCTGGCACAGAAGGAGATTGCCCCTCCTTCTCCAGCGGAGCATCTCATGGATTAGAACCAAGGGCCTTTGGATTGCAGCACAGCTTCTTGCAACTAGACCACCAGAGCTCCTCTGTAAAGTACTGTTAACTGCCCTTTTACCAAGAGTGGAAATGCATCTTTCCTGGATTAGCATCTACCTTTTTGAAACTGTTTTTGTCAGTCATATATAAATTGTCTTTTAAACTGCCTGTTTACCAGGAAAGGAAATGTGTCTTTTCTAGAAGAGCATTTACCTTTTCAAACCCATTTTTCTCAGCCATATGTTAACTATTTTATAAGTTGCCTGTTTATTAGTAACTGTATGTCAACTGTTCTTTTAAAATGTACAAATTCTGTAACTTTAACTACCAAAAGTGTAACCTAATTATAAAAACTAATGATCATTCCAGATTGGGAGGCAGTTTTTCAGGGGTATCTCACTGTCCTCCCAGATCTGCAATAAAGTGTTATGGCTATTGAAATCATCTGTCTTATTGACAATTGACTGTGGAAAAAACTCCTTGAATTCATAACAAAAGGAGAATTATGGAAGGTGGGCAGATATCATGGGTAGGGAAGAGAGGGTGGTATGGTGGATCAGATATCAGAGAGTATGGTCAACAGAATAATACCTCACCCATTCCGTATGCCTTCCCTGAGGACAGCAGATCCTATCTTTGACTGTTTGACCAAAGCAGAGGACTTGAAAAACTTGATGCAGAAGATCAAATACTACAGCCTTAAATATGGATTACATCTCAATATCAAGAAGAAAAAAAAATCCTCACCTCTGGACCAATAGGCAACATCATGATAGATGAAGAAAAAGATTAAAGTTGTCACCAACAGTCAAGAAATTTAAAAACAAGTATTGCAATGGGTAAATCTGCTCTCAAGGATCTCTCTAAAGTGCTAAGGAGCAATGACATACATTTAAAGACTAAGGCGTATCTGATTCAAGCCATGGTCTTTGGAATGACTTGTTATGAATCTGAAAGTTGGACAATTACTAAGGATTATAGAAGAACTGATGCCTTTGAGTTGTAATGTTGGAGAATATTACATGGACTGTCAAAAGAACAATTATGTCTTGGTGAAAGTGCAATTATGTTGTTCCTTGGTGGTGAAACTTTGTGCATGTATTTTGGGTTCTGTGTTAGGAGGGGCCGATCCTTGGAAAAGGACATTGTATTTGGAAAGGTGGAGGGTCAGCAATAAAGAGGAAGACTCACAACAAGATGGACAGTGTTAACAGTGGCCTCAAGTATATTAAAGATGGTGAGGAAGTCACAGGACAGGGCCAGGTTCAGATCCCCTGTTCATTGGTTCACCATGAATTGTAGTCTGCTTGATAGCACCTAACAGTGACAATCCCTGGAAGCCATAAATATAACCTGATTTGTAAAAAGAATCTTTCTAGATGTGATTAAATTAAGCATCTTGAGATAGGAAGAGTATCCTGGGTAACTTGGGTGTCCTTATAGGAGAGAGACAGAGGGAGATTTGGCACAGACAGAAGTGAAGGTGATGTGAGCGCAGAAGCAGAGATTGGACTGATGAAACCACAAGCCAAGGAATGCTCTCAGCCTCCAGAAGCTGGAAGAAGCAAGAACTAGATTCTTCTCATAGCTTGGGAGGGAGCAGGGCTCAGCTATCTTCTTGATTTGGACCCAGTTAAACCTCTTGCTGTTGACTGTGTCTCATGGAGAACCGATGTGTGTCAGAGTAGAATTATGCTTCATAAATGTTTTAATGACTGGTTTTCTAGAAGTAGTGTTTCTTCAGAGATACCTCTGTGGATGCAAACCTCCAGCCTTGCCGTTAGCAGCCGAATGCATTAAGTGCACCATCCAGAGACTTCTGCTGTAAGCTCAGATTTTGAAATTTTGGTTTTTAGAACTATGAGAGAATAAGTTCTCTTTCTAAAGAAGCCACTACATTTGTTGCAATTTGTTGACAACACCTTGTAGGGGAGCAATGCAGATGTTTTCTTCCTCCAATCTAGATGTAGAAAAGGAAATCACTTTCCTGTGCTGAGGCTTGGCCATCTGAAAATCACTGCACTTTAACCCTTCACAGTAATATCTAACCCAAAAGACATGATTATTTGGGAGGAAAGGACTTCTTTTGGGAAATGGCCTTGTGTCCCCTTCCACATGTACCTACGTACACAATCACTTGGGCAGCTATACAGACACATACGACAGACCTATAGACACATGCAGATCTACAACTAAAATGAATATTCAGTACCTGTAGCCTGTATTCTCCACAAAAGCCTTGTGGTTGCGCCAGCCACACCTAAGAACTCTTATTCCAAATGCCCTCAATACTCATGTAACTTCTGTGGGTACATACCACACAGTGGAGTGGAAACCACAAACAATGGAGAAGCTGTGCATCCCTGAAAAGGCAGAAATCAAGGATGACACTCAAATGTCTGCCTTGTGGAGTTGAGTAGGAAAGTTAAGGGAAGATTGCAAGGGAAAAGCAAGAGCTCCCTCCTAGCCATCTTCACTGTGAGATGCCCTGATTCATCAAAAGAGGGTGCACAGTTAGAAATGGGGGTATGGATATCAGAGGTCTAAGCTGGATATGGTGCAGTGAATTACTTAACATGGCTCATGTGGCCATAATTTTTGTAATCACCATTGAATGACCAAGAGAGTCTATGCAAATGAAGTGTTTATGACCCAGAAAGGGGGTTGGATAATAATGCAACTAAAGTTCATGACACCTTCGTGGAAGTGTTGTTGTTATGTGCCATCAAGTCGCCTGTGACTCATAGAGACCTATGTACAACAGCCCTAAACTCTGCTCTATCCTGTGCCAATCTTATTGTCTCTGACACACGTATCCTATTACCCCAGTCATTGAACCAATCTATCTCATCAAAGGTCTTCCTCTCTTGTACTGTCCCTCCATGCTCCCAAGCATGATGTCCCTCTCCAAAGACTAGTCCCTCCTTATGAGTGTGTCCCTCCTTGTTCAAAGTATGTCAGATGGAGTTTCAGAATCATAGGACTCTGTAAATAA